AGGGCTTAATCAGTCTGTGGCTGAAGTGCTCCTGAGCTGCCTCCAGCTTCAAGTGTAGAGAGGATGAGTGGAGTGTCCATGATGGCTTTTCAGTTTTCCCTCCTTATCCTGCTTAGGTCACAGCCTCCACACTGGTCCAGCTCCACATCCCCACCACCGAGCTGGCTTCTTTACCAGCCTTTGCTCAGTTGTTGGGCACCCCTAGTCCCGATTGCCTCCTCCCCAGGCACCACCACCAGCCAAAGAAGATCTGGTGACACTGGCCCTTACAGACTGGTTAGAATATCCGTAGTTGCCGAGTGCACAAGTTAAGGACCTGAGCCTCCTCAGAAAGAACAGCCCTGCCTTTGTCCTTTCCTGTAGAGGGCCTGGGTTGGGTCTGTTTCAGTCCAGCTTATTGGTTTAGTGTAACCCCCAGGGGAACTTTAGGTGTCCACCATCTCCTACCCTCTCCCCCCTATCACAACTGGGAGGCAGGCTTTTGTTTTTCCCTGTGTTGGAGGCTGTAGGTGGTTTCTGTCACACCATCGAATGAAAGTTCTGGATCAGGTCTCTACTCCTCCTCCCTTTTTCATCTTGATACAGCCAACAATGGAGGAGTCATCCATAACTTTGTGTAGGTGGCATGCTCCAGAGTTGGAACAAGAAGTCAGAGTTGTAGAAGGTGAACAGGAACGGTGTTGCTCCGCCACCAGCTTAAACAGTCCTCTGCTGAGACCTGGCAGGGTAATACCCACAGGCTAGAGGATCTGACCTTTTAAACGGAGAGCTGCTTCAGTACCACCTATACGGGGGTAACTCGGGATCTAACAATACATATGTATATATACATTTAATTTTATTGTGTTGTGCTGTATCTGGAGCAAGTGAATTTCCGAAGTGTGGGATCAATAAAGTCTATCTTATATTATCTTGTTTGGATGTTTGGTTTATGTTCACTTGTAGAAAATCCCCACATATTTTCTTTTTTTTCCCGTTAGAGGTGCAAACAGAAAAACATGTGGTTACACATGACAAAATAAAGGTTTATGATTACAAATACCATGCCTTAATTGGTTGACAAAGTTGATTTTCTTCAACAAAGTCACAAATATGCATTTTACATTCATTTTACATGTTAAGTATCATATTGAATGATATTTACAATCAAACAACATATTATTGTAAGTTGTGTTTTTTGATATACTGTTACTCTTTATATGTTTTTCATTTCTTTATCATACTATATTTAATCATTAGTCACTATGGGGTTACTCATTTAACCCAGTACATACATAAAATGTCTTTAAGGTCTGCACAGTAGAAATACTGAACCAAGAAAGCAAAAGCCACAGATTAAAAGTATTAAGTACTTTCCTCCATTCCTCAAGCTTATTTGTTGTGAGCTTATAGTAATTACTAAAAGTGACCAAGATGAGCATTGCAACTTTTATATCAGCTCCTCATTCAGTCAACATTTCTTTGTCGAAGAGCATCATCTACATACAGTTGAGTATCGTAATATTTTGTTTTGTGATATTGCATCAATTCTCAAAAACACTTGATTTTTGTTTAACCCCCCAACTGTTAGAAACTGTTAGTAAACATAAACATATCAGCCAATGCAAAATGATTGTAAAAGGAAATCAGTCAGTCAAACAACAAATGTCAACAAAATGCCTGTGTGCTAATTAGCTTCCCCAAGTTAACAGCTATATTCTTTTAGATTGTATGTAATGAAAGAATTACCAGTTTACCTACAAATTGGTAACACCATTTCATTATGAGTTGTAAATATAAAACTGTATACTAACAAATGATAATATTGATCCAATAAATCCTTTTCACACAGCGTGTAAATCAGACAGTGAGTGAATCATCATTTATTTGCTCTCGCTTACTCTCTAACTGCTGTGCAATTATACAGCAGCTTAACTAATTCAGTCAAATATGTACCTCCTAATCAAGGTTCATATAATGAATGACCTCCAGTCTGCCACTGACAAATTGTCCTCCTGCACTCCTCATCTCCCATTTCCCCTACATTGATACAGGACAGAATAATATATAGGATGAGCCAACGTGTTTGTTAAATATAATCCAGTAACATCGCCAACATGCAAAACAGCTAATGTGGCCATGAGATGGGCTACACCTGGTTTAATCCTGATTACTAGGCTTTATAAGAGGTTGATCAGTTTGTTGTCTCTCTCTCTCCTTCCAGCCAGCAGGCCCTTGTGTGATGCTGTCTTTGGTTTTGATAAATGCATTACCTTTTTCCACACACAACACTTCACCCATGTCCACACACACACTCACTACACTACTGACAAATACTGACGTACATATATATTTTGTACTTTGTTTAGTGTGAATATCGGTTAATTAAATTAATTTTGTCAACAATGGATCAACAAAACCTCTGCTTGTAACTGACAATCAGTGTTGGTTTCTTTTAACCATGACCATGATTGTTCATATCAAAGTAGTTATTTAAACCTAAACCAGGATGTTTCCTTAACTTAAAAGCAGCTATACTGTATATTTTTATTTCATATAAATGCAAATGCAATGTTTGCATTGTTGTGACAAACCTACAGAGAGATGAGAGCTCCAGTCAGCTTTACGGAGTACTGTGGTGAGTTACAGCTAAGTCTGGCCCTTGTTTCTGTTGCCCCCAAATGGCGAAAAAGATCTGTTATTGCAGGTTTAAATAAGTAATAATTCAAATGTAACAATTTTTATCCCATATTTGATCCAATTTCAATGCTTCAAATCTAATTGGCGATTGTAACATGTACGTAGATCAATGAGAAAACTCAAAGGCCCTAGAATTTTGAAATCTCATTGACTCTTTTGATTTTATTCCACATGGTAAAAGACCAACACACGACACACATCCTTGACTTGTTCTGTTTTAAATGCCTACAAAGCAAAGAGTAAATCATTTCACTAAGAAACACAATATAGATGCTTCTGTAGTTGCCAAAGTTTCTGACATTATGAGTCAAACTACCATGTCTCTCCCCTCCACCAGCTCCATACATGATGTAGAAATTCACTTAATTATCAATTTCTTTGCATGCTTGAAACTGCTGCGCCCATAAAGACAAAAAAAGCTGGTGAGACCCATGTCTTGGTGAACCAGTGCTAGCTGATCACAAATGGGGAAAACATTTATTTACTGTCCACCATGATATATTCAAGTTATTACTAAATACAATGAAGCAGTACGAGATAAGAACCAACGTTAGCCAATTCAAAGAATCCTAATTCAAACAATCCCAGAATAAATGGTAAATGGACTGCATGTCTAGTTTTCCGACCACTCAAAGCGTTTCATGCTACAGGTCAACATTCACACATTCACATTCATACTTTGATTGCAGTCTGCCCAAGAACACTTGGTGACATTGGACTGGAGTAACTGGGGATCTCTTTCTCTCTCATTTAGAGAGTGCACAGACTTTTTGAAGGGCAGGGGCGGAAAGAAAAAAAAGGGCACATATAGCGCGTCCTCACCACTGTAGAGGGCACTTTAGACACGTTTTATATGTTATACAAATGGCAATGGAATTAATAGTACCCAGAAATATATGAACATTGACAGGAATACTCGTTGTAGGTTTGACGTTAAGGATCAGCCATCCGGGCGAGAAGAGAATGGTGTGGAATTATGAAAACAGACAGCGAAATGATAGTTAGGATGACTCATGAAGAACACAAGGCGACATGTCATGTATGAAGGAAACAAAGATCCGGATTAGGTAGGAGTGGTCGTGGGGGTCCTCTCTCCCCCGAATATATTTCAATTAAGTATTATAATTTCTGTAAGTGTAGGATACTTATTGATACGCAGTACTTAGGCACACAGGAATTAAGTCCTAAAGCTGGGCTTGTGAGAAGTAAAAGAAATAGATAAGTTCATGAGAAAAAGTCAAATATAGAAGTAAAACATAAAAGGGAAAATACCACACAATAAAAA